AGACATTCTAATAAGTCTGACAGTGGAAGGCTACCTTGGGAGAGCCTGTAGCTGGAAGGGAAGGAGGTAAAGGAATGGTGGTGAGGTAGATGGTCCTTTGCCTCATTGGGGTTCCCGCCTCTAATTTCATTTCCTTTTCTCTTTATATCTCCCAGATACATTCCTCATAAGTCCTGTGTTGTATGCAAAAACAGTTAAAGGGATTATAAAATGGGGGCCTGGTGCTTCCCAGGTATAATTCCCAGCCACCTCCTTTTCATTTTCTGGGCCAGTCCCAGCCTGGGGAGTTGTCAGTTCTGAGGGAAAACTCTGTTCTTGCAGGTTCCCCTGAGCTCTTCCAAACCCACTCACGCTTTTCTACTCAGAGCATCACCAAGAGTCCGGATAGCATAGAGCAAGGGGAAAATGCATAACTAACCCTTGCTACTTACTCTGCAACTATCAAGAACACTAACTTTTAGAGACGTTATGACAAACAAGAAAATGTTTTTAAGTTTAAAAAAAAATATTAAAGGAGCTGGTAAGATGATTCAGTGGGTGAACGCACTTACTACCAAGCCTGGCAATGTGAGTTCAGTTCCCAGAACCAGCGTTGTAGAAGGTCTGACCTCTACATGCATGCTCTTGCATCCACCCCCACACAAACAAATGTTCAAAAGTTAAATGAATTAAAGAAAATTCTTACGTTTGAAAATAGATGTGCGGTATGATTCCCTTTGCAAAAGGGGTAGCTTTTAAATGTAACATGGGGCTACCACTGGGTGGTGAGATAACAAATAATTATTTTTTTCTTTATACTGTTGTAATGTTTTGCAATATTCTAAACCTAACATATGACTCTTACGAATTAAGGATGAGTAATATTTGAAAGCACAGTAGTTAGCAAGAGTTTTTTTTATGTATTGAAAGCTGTGTCCTCAAACTACAGGCGCAGAAACCACCAAAGTTCCAACCCGCCATGCTTGTGCTCACAGAGGCCAGTACTCTGCCGGACCTTTAATGTCATAATTGACCAGTATCCACTCTCCTCCTTCCTCAGCAGCACTCTTAATTTTGCTCTAAGGAAACCATCTTTCCTTTGTCCTGGGATTCAGTTGTTTCCACAGTGTGGGTCTAATCCCGTTATCTCAGTGTCTTCCTTGGGTAGAACATAGGTTCAGGCATAGTCACATGACTCATCAGGACATAGGGAGAATCCAGGAAGCCAAGGGCCGTGTAGGTGTGACTGGAAGAGCCTTATGGTCTAAATGTGGTGACGACCTGTCCCTCCAGAGTTGGTATAAGGAAAGGAATCCTGAGATGGTGAAAATGGTATGTGCCTCTTCTCTCCTTAGAGCGGTGGTTCTCTACCTTCCTAATGCTGTGACCCTTTAATACAGTTCCTCATGTTGTGCTGACCCCCCAACCATAAAGTTATTTTTGTTACTACTTCATAACTATAATTTTGCTACTGTTATGAATTGTAATATAAATATCCATTTTTTAATGGTCCAAAGGGGTTGTGACCCACACATTGAGAACCACTGCCTTAGATGCTCTAGGTGCTGCTGTTGATCAAAGTGGGGGGCGGGGCGTCTCAGAAATAGAGAGCAGAAACTTCTAACAAGTGTTGCCTGGTTGTTGTCTCCATCAGAAAGAGAATTTAGAGATGTCACAAAATAAGGAATTGGGGAGAAGGTTTTGGCAGATGGAAGAGTGGCGGCCTCTGAGTTACACCCCAATTTTAGGTAGCTGAACTTTAAAGAAGGGGAGTTATTCACAGAGGATGGATAGAGGGACTGGCTTTCCCACAGAGGAGGCTTTTCTCCCCCTTTCTGTCCTCATCTGGAGTGTTGAGGTTGAAGCAGACATTTCTGCCAGACTAATGCCATGGAGATGCCGTCACAAGGAAGCCAAGGGAAGTTAGCACAGGTCTGGGTTAGCCATGGTGTCCCAGCTGGTTTTTCACTGTTTGAGCAGTCACATAATGTCCTGTCCTGCTGCAACATAGCTCTGTGATTGCATCAGCGTCTAGCCTCACTGCCCCCCCCCCATCCTACCTGGCTTACCTTATTACTATAGAGATGACCTTTCTCTCTTGAGATGACTGCTGTCCCATCAGTTTAATCTCCGTTGCTATGGTAAGTACCACAAGCAAAAGCAACTTGGAGAGGAAAGGGTTTATTTCAGCTTACAGGCTACAGACCTTCACTGAAGGGAGTCGGAGCAAGAGCCTGAAGCAGACACCACAAGGGAAAGTTGCTTTTGGGGGTTGTTGAAGCCGCATATTCAGCTGCCTTTCTTATATAGCTTTATGTCCCACCTGCCTAGGGATGGTGCTGCTCACAGTGGCCTGGATCTCCTGATACCAATTAGCAATTAAGAAAATGCCTCACCAGGCAGTGGTGTCGCACGCCTTTAATCCCAGCACTTGGGAAGCAGAGGCAGGCGGATCTCTGTGAGTTCGAGGCCAGCTCTACAGAGCGAGATCCAGAACAGGCACCAAAACTACACAGAGAAACCCTGTCTTGAAAAAAAAAGAAAGAAAGAAAAGAAAATGCCTCATGACCATAGTCACAGGCCAGTATCATAGTATGATTAAGGCAATTCTTCAGTTGAGGCCCTTTCTTCCCAGGTGACTCTAGGTTTATGTCAAATTCACAGCTGAAACTAAGTTCAATACCATGCTCCCCACGACAGTCTGAGTAGAGATTACCCCCCCCCCCTCCTAAGAGACCCTAAGTAGGGGTGAGGATGAAACCAATCTCCCAAACCATCTACGTGGGGGATGACCCCACTCTCCCAAGATGGTCTAAGTTTATGGACACCCAAAGTCCACATAGAGCATGGCAACCAACTCCCAAAGATGAAGACAAGGTCCTTAAAACTGTATAATTTCAGATCAACCCAAACCCACAGCTATTCTTTTAAGGGACATTTAATGGCTAGAGCAAGTAAGTTGTGTGGCGCTGGTCAGCTTTAACTTGTCTGTCTTCGCACTCAACGTATTTCCCAATTATCCTTCCCTCATAGCTCTACACATTCCAACTCCAAAGTAGTAAGTGCTCTAAAAGGGCAGGGCTCCGAGCCAGCAGAGTAAATGATTCTACCGAGGCAGGCCGTGAAAGCTTCCTGTGTGAGCAGGGCCTGGGAGCATCTGGAAAAGGAATTCCTGACAGAGGCTATCAGGCAAAAAAGTTAAAATAAAATAAAAACTGCTCTGCATGGTGTCATCAAGAAAGCACCAAAGCAAACTGCCACCAGGCCCCCAGAACTCTTGGTGGGGCAATAAGCCAGGGAACTGGCCTAGATTCTTAAGTACATTCTTAGAAATTTGCATGTTAATCTATTTAAAAAAAATATGAGGGCTGAACAGTGACAAATGTCTTCTCATAAAAACCTTGACTTGGCAGTGGGAAATGGAGAAACGTAGATAGACAACAAAAAACTACCTCCCATGCCTTTGTTTATACTGCATATCCCATTCCCTTCAACAAACTCTGGTTTATGGAACGCTTCACTACAGGGGAGGTCTGGAACGTTCACTTAAAAAAACAACAGAAAACAAAAACAAAGAACTCCCAGCTTACGTGTTCTTCCGATGAGATCGCCACCATCTCCCCTTCCTCCCATGTCCAGACCCTATTCTTTGGCCTGTTTTCCAGCTCCGGTTATTCCCATGTACACAGGAATGCTCCGTGCTATTATTTAACTGTCACAGCCTTGTCTCTCCTCTTGCTAATTATAGAATAATCAGTACACGACAAAAGGGACCACATCTTTTTCTTACCGTCAAGGTGCATGCAGAGCTCGACCCAGAAAATCTACCTGTCCTCAGCTCTGGGCTTCCCTAGTAGCTACAAGGGCTAAACAACACGGGTTTAAAGTCAAGGTGTTGAATATCAAATATCCAACTTATTAAAAACACTGGCTTACTCTTCACCTCCGTGTTTATCTCAGTCAGTTTCATTTACAGCAAACTGATCATGGACACTAGAATGGCATGTTTCATGCACGGTCAGGCCCTGCTTTATTATGTTACCCAGCCATCTGTGACCCTTCATTAGAGAGGCAATTGGGAATCCAGTTTGGAAGCACTGCTGAACGACAATGGCCACGCTGAAACCGTACTGTGGCTTTAAGAGCCTTGCCGCCCTCAGACAGCTAGTCCATTTTCATTTAGCAGTAATCTAAAATGGCCAAGCATTAGTTCTACCTACAAGATAAACTCCGTGGGCAATAATTGAGACAATTTAGTCACTATGCAGAGATTAAACAAAGGATGCTGTTGCTGTGATTGGCTGCACACACACACACACAACACACACACCCCACATACGCAAGTGAATTAAGACCTTCCATCAGGATAGCATAACCTGAAACACTATGCAAATTCTGCCTTTGGTGAAACACCAACTAAAGCCACTTCTGTGTCTTTTTTTTCAGGTTGCACACAGCACAGGATCATGACAAGCACCGACTGGATTTTATTTCAAGGGAAGGGGCTCTGTTTTTTAATGGACTGGTTACCAAGGCGTCACAAGCAAGGGACTCACAGAGCTGTCCTGGTTCCTTTTAGGCCTTTCCTTTTTTAAAAGCGTTTCTGTTACCCCAAGAATGCTCTGGCTGTCTGTTGCAGTTCCATCCCCATCATTGGGTGCCTGGGTCTTGCCTAATTGATATGTCATTCCGTTTATTTTCTACTGGTGAGGTCTGCAGCCTACATGATGGGGAAATGCTCATTTGCTACCGGGAACTTCCTTCAATTTTAGCACAGCTCAACAACTAAAAGCCCACCTGTCTGAGGGGCAGGTCAATAACAGAACTACAGGAGTAACCCAATTCCTCCGACTGTTCCTCCAGGCTGTTATTTTCCACGCACAATAGCCGTAAAAGCGAATACTTAGCAAGGTGGTCTCTCTCGGAAAAATCGAATTAAACAAGCCTTCCTTCCTGGTTTCACTCACGAACGTTTGAGAAGAGAGCTGTTGCTTTAATTAACCCCCTTCTTCCTTCCAGACGCCTGGGCACCAGGGCCCTGATTTCATGCAAGCTGGGAATCCTCACTTGGCCATGGGGAACCTGTGTCCACCGGTGCTGGGGACCCAGAAGGGGGACGCCTCCTACCAAACGCAACGGTTCCCATTTGAGGTTTGGGAGGAGGTAAGGAGACCAGAACGGGGACAGCTGGATGCCCAAGATTTTCATATCCTGCATATTCTCGGAGGCAACTCTCGCAATTGCGCGACGGGCATCCATAACCCATACTGGGTGACAGTCCCTCCCTCCCAGGGGCCGCGTGGAGCCGGTGGTGAGATCCGGGGAGCAGGTGTCCCCGCGCACCGCCCTCGCTTACCCAAGGCCCAGGTGCAGCTCTCCTTGATGGCTTTGTGTTTGCTCCCGGACGCGTCCCTCTGCAGCTTCCTCAAGATCTCTTCCATCTTGGCCTTCCCAGAGCCGGGCCACCCGACCCGGAGAGCGTGCGGAGGACGCGCCTAGGCGGCCGCTGCGCTCGTCCCCATCGCGCTCCGCGGCCACTGATGAATCACGCCGCTTCCACGCCGCGGGGCCACGTCAGCCCCGCCGCCACGCCCGTAGCCACGCCCGCCGGGTCAGGTGCGCTCCCGAGCCCCGGGACGCTGGAGGCTGGGGTCTCCTGTTTCGCGCCCAAGCGGACCTGGGGGACCCGGCTTCGTCCAAAGGTGGGGGTCAGCGGCTGGTTGCCGGCCGGGCTCCGCCCGAGGACGCCTCTGATCTACTGAGAGTGAGAGCCGTGGGCAGAGGGCAGAGGGGGGCCTGGGTGTTTGTACCCATCACCTGCCCGCCACGCCGGATCCCTGCATCCCGAGACCCGCTACACCCGGGGGTCCTGGAACCCAAACATTTACATTCACTAAATAGTAAGCAGCTGGTCCCCTCCCCGTGTCAGGCTGAGGCCATCCAGCGGGGACAATGCCATATGTCTGCCTGCAGGGAGCTTACTTGACAATGTATTAGACTCATACATTACACGCTAATACAAGTCTCTAATAATTAGAGATTTGGATGTGAGAATTAAATCATAAAAGGTTTAGAAGAGGATTAAAATGAGTACACTTATGTTAGTACACGGAGATTTCTACCACACCAGCTAAGGCAGAAATCGCAAACAAAAATCAATAGATGTAATTGACAACTTAAAACCTTTCGACAGCCCAGCAGTCAATCTGTGGGGCTGCCCTGGATGTTAGCAATGAACAGCCCCATAGTTAGGCGAGGGAACCAGGCCTCAGCTACTTCCCAGGCAACAAGAGTTGTATTCCACACACCCGGAATCCAAAGATATTTTTTAAAAAAACCTTCACCAGCAGGTGAATATAGAAAAATTAGAAGTTCGAGGTCATTCTCGGCTAGTCTGAGACCATCTTAGGTACATGAGACTTTTAAAAATAAATACTAAATAAATAAAATAAAAAAATCTCTCGTATTGGCTGAGTCGTTTCCCTCTGAAGCAAGGGGCACACCGGCCAGTGGCAGCTGAGGCCTGTTGGGTTTTGGTAGGCAGGGAAAGCCTGACCCGGGAACCACGGGAGCTAAGGCCTAAGGAAGCCAGAGGCTCTGTCTGCTATTTGAGTGACTTCAGGTGCTCCCCTGGTGGTAGGAGGGCCCTCTTCTGGCTGTTCGGGGAAATGAGGCCTGAAGGAAGGCAATGACGTTGCCTTGCGAGTGAGGAAGAGGTTAGAAGCGAATTCAGGTTTTATTAGAAATGTATTTGTAGTGAGAGGGATGCCGTCTGCAGAGAGGAGGTGCTGGCTGGGGGGAATGTGGGCAGGTTTCACAGCAATCTAGGATCAGTTGGGCTTTGGGTGGGTGGGAAGGGAGACGTTTGAGACAACGCGAAACGATCTGATGGCTGAATAGAAAAGGAACGGCATGCCATGCTTAAGGGAGGGCATTGAGATTCCTTCGGGAAATGAGAAGACGACAATGCCCCCATCTTGTAAGGTAGAGAAGGCAGTGGCGGAGGGGCTCGGAAGAGGGAATAGACAAGCTCCGATTTAACTCTGATTGAAACGATGATGACACGTCTGTGGAGTATTTTACCTAAGGGCAGGAACTTCTCTTCAGTATAGCGAGTGCTTGCTGTCAGAGGCCAGAGAGGGAGCTGCAGGACCCGAGATAAGGGGCAGGGAGCGTGAGGAGGAGGA